AGATAGGAGGGAGGATTGTGGGGGAAAGAGGTGATGGGGAAGGGAAAGAGGAGGGAGAAGGAAGGTGGGAGTGGAGGAAGGGAAAGAGAAGAGGGAGGGTAGAGGAGATTAGGATGGAGTGGGGAAAGGGATGATAAGCGGAAGAAAGGGATGAAAAGAGGTGAGGGGAAAGAGGGAAGAGGTAGGAAGGAGAAGGAGAAAGATAGGAGGAAGGGAGAGGTGAAAAGATAGGAGGCAGGGAGAGAAGGAAGGATGGGAAGTGGGGGAAAGGGGAAGAGAAGAGGGAGGTGAGAAATGTGAAAGAGGGGGAAGGGATTAAGGAGGTAGGGGAGGGGAGAGAAGGAAGGGACGGAAGCGGTGAAGGAGGTAGAGAGGAAGAGGAAGCTGAGGGGTAGGGGGGGTAGGAAAGGGGGAAGAAATGAAGAGAAGGATACAGAGATGAATAAGTTTAAATATGAATTATAAAAGCGAATGCGGAATGATTTGAAAACTGAAAAGACTATAAAGCGAATAAATGTATAGGGCAAAAAGGGATTGGAGACCGGTAATGGAAAAGAAATAAAAAACGATTATGGACGTTTCGTAGGAGGGAGTAGTTTTAATAAAAGAACATTAAAAAAGAGGAGAAGTCAGAGGATGCGGGAGCAGCGAGAAAAGGCAAATAAAGGCGAGAGAGAAGAGGAAAGAGGGGTTTTGTATTGATCGACAACTCAAATAAGACCCGATTTTCTTCCCTCGCCCCTCCACTCTCCCTGCGACTTCCGAGGAGGTAAAGGGCCACCAATTCGAGGGGTGGGGATGTATTGACCAAGAAGAAAGCATGTGTAAAAGTATTTTTCTCCCTTTGTCTTCCCCCTCTCTCCGTCGCTCTTTCCCTCCTTCCTTTCTTTCTTTCGCAACTCTCAGCCGCTCTATTCACTTGGATTAGGGTGGTTTTTACCTTTCGAGACGATTTCCCCTCCCTCCCCCCTCCTCCCCCCCCTTCTCCCCGCGCTGCTGCCTCTTTCGGGAGTGATTGATTCAGTCTTTTTTTTTTTTTTTTTCTTTTTTCTTTTTTTTCGTTTTTTTTTTTTTTTTTTTCTCTCTTGTTGCAATTGCTGACTTGAAGCCATTTTAATTCATTTGAGATTTGATTTTCCTCTTTGTTGCACGACGAAAAGAGGAGGGAAATAAGGGTGTATTTTTTCCTGTCTTTCTTTTATGTTTTATTCATTTTCTTTTCCATTTTTTTTTCGTTTTTTTTTTTTTAATTTATTTATTTATTTTTCTTACTAAAATGGCGATGAGAAGTTTCCCCCGAAGTCGCAAAACTGCTCTTTTCCTCTTGGATCAGCCTCGAAGTGAGTTGTTCAGGAGAGGGAAGGAACTGTTCAAACCGCGCAAAGCTAATGAACGTGAACACCTCGGCTTTCCGCGCGAATGGACTTCTCAGGGGAGGGCTTGGGGGAAGATGCGGGGCCTGGGGGGGAGGGGGGGAAGGGCGGGGTCTCCCCTCACTTTTTCGTTCCCTCATTTTTTTTTTTTTATTTTTTTTTTCTCTGGTCTTCTTTCTCTTTTTGTCTTTTTTTTTTCTTTCTTTGGATTTTTCTCTCTTGTTCTTTCGCTTTTCTCTTTCTTTCGCGTTCTCTCTCTCTCTCTCTTCTCTCTCTTCTCCCTTCTCTCTCTCTCTCTCTCTCTCTCTCTCTCTCTCTCTCTCTCCTCTCCTCCTCTCTCTCTCTTCTCTCTCTTCTCTTTCTCTTCTCTGTTTTTTGTTTATATGCGAATTGGTTTAATTTGATGAAACATGGTTGCTTAGGTATATGTAATACACACACATACACACACACACGCGCCGCGCGCGCGTCCCCCCAGCGCACACGCACACGCACCGAGAGAAATGAATTGTCCTAAACCGCGCATTTAGACTTTAATTGCAAAACGAATATAAATGTTTGATGGCTCGTCTGGCGGGCGTGATAAGGTACAGAACGAGATGTAAACGTAGCACTGTTATGCCTCTTTTTTTCCCTTTTTTCCCCCATTTTTTCCCCTTTCTCTTTTTTTCTGTGTGATGTCGATACGGTCGTCCGGCCAGTTGTTACGCGAGGTGATTATGAGCCTTACGTTACAACGGGAGGAGCAAGATAAAGGTTTGCGTTCCCTGCTTCTAATGGATGGGCTATAATTTGCCGGCCAGGGCGGTGATTATGGAAAAATAGGGAGTTATAATTAATTTTCCCTTCACATCACACAATTAATTAAGCTAATTAACGGCGATCATATTATATTTACGGTTGGAAATTAACTAACTCGAGTAAAAAAAAAAAAAAAAAAAGAGGGAGTCATGGACATTCTTAAATAAAGGCGAGGCTGTTTGAGGTGGACGCGCTCTTGTTCAGGGAGTGTTTGGGACGAGAGGGGGAGAGGGGGAGAGGGCGGGGAAGGGGGGAAGGTGGGAGGGAGGGGGGTAATTGGTCGTATTTTTATTTTTTTATTTTATTTTTTATTTGGTTTATTTTTG